CCATCATAAATTCAGTATCTAGAAAAATATGGGTATTTTATTATAATGAAAACCTTATTTCAGATTCATAGATAGTAAAGGTGTAAAACAGTAGGTACAGTAAGAGTGTTTTTTTTTGTATTTGTAGTATTATATTATTATAAATCAGTATGAAGCCTTTTCACTCAGTATGTTTTGTTCCAAAAAGCACAAATGACTTCAGCAGGAAAATGTTGAATTTCCCATTTTTGTTACACACGTTACGCTTCTTCTTCTCTACTTATTCGTTATTTAAAAAGAACTCTAATTCAAATCAAGGGTTGTGTAACAACGTTAAGGTTTTCCCATAACCTTAGTTTTTTCACACGACCTTCCATTTTGAATACGAAACACGACAAAAGGAATACCATAACACGACACTGGCTGGTTACGCGTTACGCAAGTAAAAAAAAAACTTGTATTCCTTTTCCAAATCTTCAAATTGTACAAACTTGTCTCTCTATAATAAAATCCACCCTAAAAATACTTTTAAGAAGATAGGATTCCCACAAAACAAGATATTTTGGAAACCTGTTGAAACCCCACATTTCTTCGAAATCGAACAAGTTTGTCAAGACGAATTCGAACTTCAAGATTCCCACATTCGTTTTAGGGTTTTTCGAAACCTGTCGTGAGGGTCGGCGGACTCAATTACAAACTTAAGTCGCAATTGTCCGAAACCGGTTTCGGACAGTAAGGGAAAGATGATTCCTACTTATCCGAATCTTTGTGGTGATCTACTATTTTTGTTAGAAACAGGATTTTTGCACGACGTATTTTATTCGTTTGTAACCAGTTTTAAGAAAAGATTACAATGTCGTTTTTAACACAGTCGACGAAATTAGTTGATCGGTGGGAACTTTTTTGAAACAAAACGTGAATTTTATGCCATGTTGTATTTTCTCCCAGTCCAATTTCTGGTGCTTAAGTAAGTATAAGAATAGAGAAAATAATTTACTCTTCGAATTAGGTTTATGATGATGAGTCAAACACAAAAATAAAATCGAAATTACATCATAAAATCAAGTTATCAAAAAAATGGGACCGGGGACTGCGAAATAAGGCCCCTCGCCCACGGCGACTTCCTGTTACCTTTATGAGGTCGTCGGTCCTCCACACACACTACTGGGGGAGGCATAATGTTCAGTAATGGACGTCCTGTGGCTGAAATGAATGATGACAAGATTCGATTTAGATTTAAGACAAAGCAGCGATGCACTAAATTTTTAAAATTAATTCATTGGACTAAACTTGAGCGAATTGGATGTTTTGAGACTCTTGAGCGAAATAATCACGTTGGCAAAATAGTTCCATCATGGTTATGACATACAAAACAAAATAAAGATGTTGTTTCAGCCAAATGACGTCCACTGCTGGACAAAGGCCTCCCCCAAGGTTTTCCACAATGAACGGTCCTGCGCTGCCCGCATCCAGGCTCTTCCCGCGACCTTTACCAGATCGTCGGTCCATCTAGTAGGAGGCCTGCCCACGCTACGTTTTCCAGCCCGTGGTCGCCACTCGAGAACTTTCCTGCCCCAACGGCCATCGTCTCTACGAGCTATGTGCCCCGCCCACTGCCACTTGATTTTAGCAATTCTGCGAGCTATGTCGGTTACTTTGGTTCTCCTACGGATCTCCTCATTTCTGATTCGATCACGCAGGGAAACTCCGAGCATAGCCCGCTCCATCGCCCTTTGGGTGACCTTGAGCCTTCTTATGAGGCCCATAGTAAGCGACCACGTTTCGGATCCATATGTCAACACTGGCAACACACACTGCTCGAAGACTTTCGTCTTGAGACACTGCGGTATTTCGGACATGAGTATATGGCGAAGCTTCCCGAACGCTGCCCATCCGAGTTGGATTCGATGATTGACCTCTTTCTCGAAGTTGGACCTACCTAACTGGACTGTTTGTCCCAGGTATACATAATTGTCGACAACTTCGAGTGTAGAGTCTCCAACCTTCAGAGGAGTGGGTGCAACACGGACATTAGACATGATTTTTGTCTTGTCCATGTTCATTCTGAGGCCCACTTGTTGAGAGGTGAAAATAAAGATGTACGTTTAATTAAATTATAGGAAGTAGGAGTAGGTATTTCAATGAACTGAAGGTTTCAATATTCAACAAATTTACAAAAATATGCAAACCGATTTTCCGCCAATGTTGAGCACCCCTGCCCGGCTGCTTACACTCATGTAAAAAGCCAGCGTCTAAGGCGCGGGCGGGGGCGGGGGGTGGGGGAATGCGCGAGTGTGCGTGCACACACCGTTATACTTTCATTCGCATAGTTTTTCTGCATCGGTGTGGGTGCGGGTAATGCGGTATTGATTTACCTCCGCGGTAAGTTTGCAAGAAATTTATTATATCTAAGATGTTTTGTTAGAGGGAGATGGTGGATAATGAAAACAGGGGGGTTGTCAGGTTGCAAATTGCTAAGTGCTTAATTAATGTAAGGCACGGTAGAGTGTTTATTTTGGGTCTAGGGTTATGATAATTGTTTATATTTTTCTTCAAAGGATATTCGGAGGGTTTTCCTCTCTTGTTTGAACTCCTATCGTTACAATTAAAGTAGGTACTTTGCAGTCAGGTAATAATGATTAAGGCGAGTCACAAAGGCGCCTGACATGGCTCAATCGGATTGACACAGCGTAGCCCTCAAAACCAAAAATACTCAATACGTTAATCTCTTTTCATACACACAAAGAATGAATGATCCGAAACTATATTATTTTGATTTTCCTGAAAAATTAATGTCATACTTTTACCAAATTTTCCACCAATATTGAGTCTCCATTGTGAAACGATTTTTAATTTAAGTCTGGATTACCAAAAACAAATTAAAAAATAACATCATAAAGCAAGGCGTTTGGCAAGTCTACAACGCATTAGAACTGTCTGAGTCTGCGAGATTGAGGAGTAATTGGGCTAGCCAGCCCAGACAGCATAGATTGGACGCTACATATGAAACGAGATATTTGATGGCAGGTGTATCCTGTATATATCTAAGACAATAAGTATGAAATAAATCGTTCTACTCACAGGAGCATTTGAAATTTTTGGGCATTACATTTTTTTGTGGTTAAAGATATTTATTTCTCAAAAAGATTACAATGCAATCACTTAGGCCCAGTTTTTTGATTCATAGTTAAAATAACAATTTGTTAAATTTTGCTACTAATGGTTAAATATTAACAAAATGTTAACTAATAGTTAAAAAATGTACTAAAAGTCAAGCTAACCATTGTTCGAAAAACATTTTTTTCTGATGTTTAACCACTTGTCATTTGACATCTGTCAAATTTGACCATTGGTTATTTTAACTACGATTCAAAAAACCGGGCCTTACAGAGAAACATTAATTTGTCTTAATAAAACAATACAAAAACGATTTAGCGCAGCAGTTCTATTAAAAGTGATTTTTTATTTTTATAAAGCAGGTAGGTGCAAATAAAATACAAGCCATCCAGTAAGTCACTGCGCGGCGCGGCGACGGGCATGAATAGGTACAATTCGAAAACATGTTTTGTACGGGATAGGACACATTTAACATTTGAGCGAGTGGCTTATAGGCTGTTTTCATAATAATAATTTGACAAAATTTTTACATTCATGTAGTGTGAATGATCCACTTTTCTTCTGCTATTTTAAGGACTAATGAGGTTTAGACTTAATCAATGTGTTTAGGAAACTGCTATAGAGAATGCAAAGGTCATTTCGTGTTTTCATTTCGCTTTCGTGTACGTTTGAAAGAAGGAAATAACCTTTGATTTATGTACCCATGTAAATATTGTAAGCCTACCTATGTAATAATCCATTTAAGAGTTGAATATAGCACAAAATAAATCTGACCGATTGGCGTCAAGACCACGTCAAGATGACTCTATCATGAGTTTTGACATAAAGAGTGAAAGAGGGTTTTTTAAAGAAATTTGGCGACCAGATGAGCTTTATTTATAACGGGCATTGCGAATTAATCTAAAAAATTGACTCAATTATTAATGATATAATTTCCAAACTAACATTCTAAACCCAATTCACGATCTGTATATTAACACCGCAAGAAAAATCACCCCAAAAATATTATAACCGGAAAATTTCCCCAACTGTTCACCACCCCTGCCCGCCATACCGCCAGAGTTGGAAAAACCGAGCGTCTAAGGAGGCGAGGGGGGGCGGGGGCTCTTATATTTTAAGATGGCTTCCGTTCCGCGCGAATATCGACGCGCGGCGCCCCCCGCCGCCCGCGCTCAATTTTGTAGCGGGAGTTTTGGGAAATAGTGCCTCTGAGATTGGAGCGCTCAAGATGTTAATTCTTTGTTGGGAAAAGGATTCTGTGGAGGTGTAATAAAATTGGGATTTGATTGAATAGGGTGATTTTGGGCTCGCAAATGCGTGTTTGTTTAGTTTGAACTTTGATGTGTCAGCCGAATATTTTTTACAGATTTGATCTGTAATGCAATTTTTAATCTTATTATTTTGCGTATGTCAAAAGTTACGAGCACATCATAGCTGACTAAGACTGACTCTTTTTCAAAGAAAACTCAACGTTTATTGAGGAGTTTTCTTATGTTTTGTATTTTATATGAAGGAATAGGCTACTTACTATTTTTCTTAACGTTAAGTTTTATATGCTCAAATCCACAAAGTTACTTATTTTAGACTAAGCGGTATCCTTTGTTTAGATGTTTCGGCAATTTATATACCTTTTATCGGAATATCGTTGTTATGTGAAGCTACAAAGAATCAAAACATATACAATATACATTTCATAATTTAATATATTGAATACCTTAAATTAAACATAACAAACAATTAAAATATCCTATCAATAATCAAAGTTAAATCTAAAACCAAAACTAAGTCTAAATAAACTTTTCTAAACGAAAACCGATTAAAAATCACACCCTTCGTTGGTGGGACGAAAGGCCAAAGTCCAATATTTGGACAATATGCGCCAACTTAATGGAACTGATCACTAATTACTTGGCGCTTGGTTTGGATTGTGGACGCTTTTTGTGGGACGACACCCTTCGCTGGTGGGACGAGAGGCCAACGTCCAATATTTGGTCAATATGCGCCAACTCTCTACAATACACCGGCAGAAAGTTACCCTCGATAGACACGTTAACCAACCCTCTGGGTTTCTTATCCACCTTTTTCTGGTACGCCAAAACTTTCGCCAACTTCTTCACAGATGTATAACTCAAGTTGTTGTACGACAAGTTCAAGTAGCTCAAAGCGTTGTTACCGTAGCTATAAACAATGCCATCTTGGACGAACGTGTTGGCTTTGTTGAACGGGTCTTTGAATTCTCCCAACGTGTTTTCAGCCATTATCGTCGCCTTATCTAAGAAAGCCGCATCCATGTTTGTCGTGCTCTTAGATTCTACCACAGACTTCAAAGAAGGCTCCTTTTCTACGCCTTTGGGCTTTTTCGCTAACGGTGGAGGTTTAACAGACTTACGCTTCATCAGTCTTCTATCAAAGTCCCCCGTTCTTAACTCTCTGGCAATACGGATCACTAGTTCACTCTTCTCCTTTAAATACGCCATGTGCCTAGACCTCGATGATAGCAATTCGTTGAAAGAGAGTGGAAAATTCACAAGCGTGTTCAGTACTTCGTCTGCCCCAGCATCTGATATCATATTATCGGCCAGATTTAAATAGCTCAGCTGCCTATTTGACCGCAAAGCCTCTGATAGGTATTTTGCACCCAAATCAGTTAATCTATTAGATGACAGATTCAGAATTGACAGTGACTTTGAAGCTGGTAGAGGATACACCAACAATTCAGCTAAAGTCTGAACCACTTCATCAGAGATACTGCATCTGGCCAAAGACAGTTGCCTGATGCAGTTCTGCTTTTCCAAAAGCATGTGGTAGTTAGCTTCTTTGAGGAAACAGCTGTCAAGGCATATATCAGTCAAATGCGAGAGCGGGAGGAACCTGCAAATCTCATAAATGGTGTATTGGTCCATACCCTTGTTGATGCAAAGGGTGGTCAAGTAAATTTGGTATTGTATGATGAGACCGATGATTCTGAGCACTGTTCTAGGTATGTTCTTGTTCTTGTCGAACTTCAATTGCACCAGGTTGTCGTTGGCATCGTATACCGCTAGTATGTTGATCACATTTTCCTCGTCTTCCACTGAAGGGGAGACGCTCTTCTCATCTCGTTCCTGGTCGGAATCGAGATCCTGGTGAGACGGCATCTTTGGTTGCTTGCCTTTTTGTTTCGATTTAGATTTCTCTGACATGGCACTGATGCTAACATATTCCTCTGAAAAATAAAACCAAATGAGTTCCGTTAAGGAATCTTATGCCCGTTTTCACCATTGATCCCTAATTTTTAAGTGACCCATATGAAAACAAAATTCCTGTTAAGTGTTACCATAAGGGTCACTTAGAAATTAGGGATTGATGGTGAAAACGGGCATTATTAATCTAAGCAGATGGTGCTTCACGTTAAGCTATTGGTCTAATGAGGGCTATCGTTTTTATACTTAATAGTTGGCACCCCTGGCGATTGACAGGACCTTACTCTACAGTCCTCCTACCACTTTCACGCTCAGTACGCTCGCTACTAGCAAGTGACAGGACCTTACTCTACAGTGGCGCTAACTGGTGAGCGCTAAAACGATAGCCCTCATTGAGATGGCATCTTGGGCGACTTCAAAATAATAATAAATATATAGATTTATATAAAAGCGAAAGGTCACTGACTGACTCAGTCATCATCACGAAATCTCAGAAACTACAAGTGCTAGGAGTCTTAAATTGTGCATGGGGGTTCCTTTTTAGAACGTAGGTGCTCACTAAGACGGGATTTGCAAAATTCAACCCCAAAGGGGGTAAAACAGGGTCCAAGCGTATGAAGTCGCGGGCGGCCGCTAGTATTAACATAGATGTGCTGTCTATTGTGCTTAACGTTATTAAAGTTCTTATTAATATTGTGCTACTTACGCTGAACCACTTTGGTCACAACGATAACGGCTTCCACCTGCAGCTGGCTGCAAGCATACGGAAGGTAGACGTCGAAGTCCATGGGACTAGGGTGGTTGTCGCTCTCCATGTCCTCGGTGTTGCTTGCCTTGTCTTTTGGAGGGTTATCCATTGCGATAGAAAAGATGAGTTTTGTAAATTATCAAAAATTCGTGTATTATTTCTGTCAGTAGGAAACTGAAAGACAAATGTCAGGGAGAAGTGTCAAATTCGGTGTCAAAAAAATGGCAGCTCAGAAAAAAAAGACGTGCTATATAGGAAAGTCGTGGTATAGATGACCCACGCTGAACTGTCCCGCCAAACTCAATGACAGGGGGGCGCTACCATCGTTCAAGTATATGGTTTCCAACATGGCAAAAATCTGAACCAGCGATCCGGTATTGACGGTGGCGCCCCACTGTCAATGTCATCGACAGGACAGTCCAGTATTTTGGAACTATAAAGTTTCTAGCTATAGATATTTTAATTTTGATCCCCATTTTCAATGCCTGGATAGAGGATAGAAAAATCCTAGTATTCTGTTTTTGATACCGTGTACGTTATGGCTCTGCTTATTAAATGAAAGAAAGCACATACGAATAATAATAAAAATATTTTAATTGTAATCAATTAAAATGAACAAAACAAAATCTAAAATTAAAACAATGAACTAGTCTAAAAATAAAATTAGCTCTAAATTAAACGCATCACAAAAACAAATTAATCAAAACTTCGTGCCGACTTTGGATTGGGTTCTTTTCTTTGGCAAGGAGTACCTCCTGGTTTGTAGCATTAGACCTGTGTCAAGCATGTCATCTATCAACTGTAATTCCCTACACATCACCGGCATCAAGTTACCTTCAATAGAAATATTGACCAGACCTCTTGGCTTCCTCCCAGACTCCTTCTGATAAGTCAACACCTTCAACAGCTTTGTAAGCGACACGTAACTCAAGTTGTTGAACGACAAGTTCAGGTAGCACAAAGTATTGTTACCCTGACTGTACACTACACCCTCAGATATAACAGTACTTTGCCCATCGAAAGGATCATGGAACTCTCCTAGCACAGCTTCAGCCATTTGCGTAGCTTTTTCAATGAACACAGCTTCGAAGTTCCCATAACTTTTCGACTCTGAAAACGACCTTAAAGAAGGCTCCTTTTCAACACCTTTCTTGTCCTTTTTAGGTGTAGAAATTGGCTTCACAGCTGTTTTTCTCCTAGCGGCTCGCTTCTCGAAATCACCAGCGCGGAGTTCTTTAACTTTTTGCATTACCAATGCATTCTTCTGCATCAAGTAGGTCATGTGCCGCGACCTTGATGCTAATAACTCCGCAAATGATAATGGAAACTTCAATAATGTATTAAACAAGTAACCAGCTCCGGAGTCTGTGAGCATATTACCAGATAGATTCAAATAGCTCATCTGTCGATTGGATCTTAAAGCTTCTGACAGATGTTTGGCTCCCAAATCTGTGATTTTGTTGGAAGATAGATTTAGTATTGATAAGGTTCTAGAAGCTGGTAAAGGGTAGCTTAAGCATGAAGCAATTTGTTCAAGAACTTCGTCGTTAACACTACATCTAGCCAGCGACAGGTGACGAAGGCAGTTGACATTCTCTAGAAGAATATGGTAGTTGCTTTCTTCTATAAACGTGCCGTCTAAGCAAAGGTCAGTGATGTGGGATAAAGGTAAGAATTTGCTGATTTCGTAAATTCCAGTTTGATCAATGCCAGAATTAATTGTAATCGTGTGGAGATAGGGATGAAATTGGATGATCATTCCAAGAATTTTAAATATTATTCTAGGGAGATGGCGGTTTTTGTCGTATCGCAGCTGAACCAAGTTGTCGACTGAGTCGTAGAAAGCGAAAATCTGGATGCCCGGTTCTATTTCTGAGGCCACAGACATGCGCATTGTGGTGCAGCTTCTGTCATCTTTGTCCATGTCCAGGGTTAGCTCCACTTTGGATACTTTACTTTTGGCCTTCTTCTTCGATCGGTCGCTGAGGCCGACCACGCTCACGTAATCAGCTGGAAAGAGACTCTGGATCATTATTCTGTTATTTTGATGGTAAGTTGCGTTTTGACAGTGACAACATGTTTGAAATGATCATGCAAGGAGCTCCATTTAAGAAAGGGATGTACAAATTCATCATTAGACTGGAGATCTTTATTTTTGTTACAAACAAGCTCTGGTTAATGACCAAGAGAGTAAGAATTGATGCAAATGACGTGAATAACTGAACAAACACCAAAGGCGAAAGGATTTTGGATAAAACTAGCCCAGATAGGTCCTGGCATTTATTTTTCAGAGTTTATATGTTAAGATTCAAATTAGTCAGTGCTTTAACTTTTTAGATTAAAACTTTTGAATGCTATTAATGTGTTACTTACTCTGTACAATCTTGGTGACAACCACCGAGTCTTTGACCTGCAGCTGGGCACAGGCCCAGGGCAGGAACACCTCCAAGACCGCCGGGCTCGGTTGCTTAGGCTTCCCATCATCCTCTGTCTTATCATTTGAATCCATGGGTTCTTCTGTCTGCTTTGTTAACTGTTACGGCTCTAAATATTGATATAAAATTGTTTTGAGTAAATATAAGTTTATCAAAATTAGTCAATAAGATTGATGGTGTCAAAAATGACAGGAGGCTTTCCTTCTGTCTTAAAAGTGGTTTTTACAAAAAAAGAAAAACTTGTAAAAAGGACAACTACGTATAATGATAGTGATGGTTTTTTTTATGCTAGATAAGGCAGGTATATGACCGGTAGGTGTGATATTATGCCCTGCCCCTGCCCATTGCCACTTCAGCTTACTAATCCGTTGGGCTATGTCAGCGACTTTAGTTCGTTTACGGATCTCTTCATTTCTGATTAAAACTCGTAGAGAAACACCGAGCATAGCCCTCTCCATAGCACGGTGTGCAATTTTGAGCTTATTTATAAGGCTAGTAGGTAAGGCCATCGCTGGTAGGTAACACACGTTTGAAGACTTTCGTCTTTAGGCACTGAGGTAGTGCGCAGAACTGACGGCCGATGGGGCAGCAAGGTTCTGTAGTGGAGGCCACGTACCGGAAGCGCAGCGTAGGACGTCCACCCACAAGGTGGACCGACGACCACATAATGGTAGCGGGAAGGCTCTGGATGCAGGGCGTTCCCAACCGTCCATTGAGGAAATCATTGCGGGAGTCCTATGTTCAGGAGTGGACGTCCTATGGCTGAAATGATGATGATGATGATGATGATGAAATTGTGATGGTTGGAACAGCCAATATTTTAAATTATTTAAGTACGCAAAAGGGATACCTTTAATAACACTTTGCAAAACTCTCTACCTACAGTGATATAGTAAAGAAGGAAAGTTTGCATTTCAGGTTTTTGCGCTTAAAATCAAGCAGCAATTTTTTAGAAACATCTCTTTAAACTCTATAAACATGAGAAAACTTCAACTACCTGTCAAGATAAAGGTCCAGCAGAATCGAATATTTTATGAAACAGTTTAAAGAACATCCGACTGTTTATACATTTTAGTAGCCTGAGGTATAAAAGAAGAGGGAACCTTTTTCAGACCCTTTTCATGGCACCCCTGCCCTCCGCACCATTCATTATGCGATAGTTTAGCCGATGTTATGATAAATAGCTCTTCCATTTGTATTGTGCATTTTAGAATTGCTATTTCACGATTAATTTGTCTTTGGATATTGTGGTTTTCGTAATGCTGTAGCAGTGGATTCAGAATTGAATTCCATTCAATACTTTTTAAGAGCGAAATTCACGTTCGTGTGTTCGTTTGAAAAGCCAAATGATGTCCACTGTTGAACAAAGGCCTCCCCCAAAGAAATCCTTGGTCCATCTAATTTTGCTACCTTAGGGTGGGTTACACCATCTTACTTTAACAAACGTCAAAAGTCTGTGAAACTCCACAAAAAACACCGATTATGGTTATAGCTATGGTTAAGTAAGGTAGTACAACAACGGCACGTCAAGGTAAACACTGTGGGATCTTATGCAGTTGTAATAGAAGCGAATTTGCAACAAAAATGGGTAGCCTGATGTGCTGTCGCTGTACAATTAAGCCTTAAAGAAGGAGAGATTATGAAAAATCAAAACAATTGTCTTGGAATAGGAGCTAAAACAATCTAACTTTACCCGAACATGCCAATTTATAAACAACAGCCGCATATAATTTTTGCTCCACATGATTAAATATTCAGTTTACTTCACACCCCACCTCAGAAACTAGAGGAACCTCTCCCAGCAGCGTACAATACAGAAACAAACATACATTTTAGCGAATATGTATATTATTGAGCGTAAGACGAACACAGGCACTCACACCCACACGGAAAATGTTAATTAACCATGGAGCGAAGATCTGCCCCTTACAGCGCTCCTCTTACCATTTATCAGTGGTTCTCAAACTTCTCGGCGAAAACCCCAAAGGCCTACAGTCTACGGAATAGACACACAGAAAGAGCTTTTCGTCATAGAAAGAAGCTTCGCGTCACAGAAAGAAGGCTTCTATTCTTTCTCTCTTTCTTCGGTGAAAAAAATATAACCAGTATTATTAAAATTGAGATAAAAATCACCTGCTTCAGACCCAGAGGTCTCGGGGTCGATTCCCAGTAGGAAACATTTTTCTGTTCAGTTTGGTTGGTGGTAGGGTTTTTTATAAGTCCACTTGGCTAGCTAACACCATCCTACCTTACACCATCCTTGCTAACAGACAGCGACCGGTCCTGCGCTTCCCGTATCCAGGTACTACCCGCGATACTGGTACTTCACCAGATCCTCGGTCCACCTTGTGGGAGGATTGCCCACACTACGTCTTCCGGCCCGTGAATCGAGAACTTTTCTGCCCAAGGAACATAAGCTCTACGAGCTATGTGTCCCGCCCACTCTCATTCCATAATTTCTTATTATCTGATGCTTTTACTTCCTGTAAGCACCATGTATGGGAGCACCAAACAGTTTGGGTACCTTTGCCCTCACAATTACCCCTAACGCGTAAGTGGATGGAGTGGATGTATAAAATTCCAAATAAATCTAACGCTTAGACTTCCTGTAGGCTCTTTTTAAGAGGGGCACCAAACAGTTTGGGTACCTCTGCCCTTACAATTACCCTTATCGCGTAAGTGGATGTATAAAATTCCATCGTCCTCCCGACGCGAACAGCGTCGTGTTCGCTAAGTGGCACAATGAGGGATGATTTCACATTGTATGGGATTTGGCCTTTTAATGTAATAGTAAGAAACAGTTATTGTTATTGTGAGTTTTGAGGATAGTTTCTAAGTTTAGGACGACGGTAGGCAGTTAAACGCCTAAGCTAAGTACGTATGTATATCATAAAATATTTTCATTTTATTTTCATAGATAGATCCTATTTTCAACCGACTTCAAAAAAAGGAGGAGGTTCTCAATTCGACCCGTATGTTTTTTTACGAATGTAAAGTGTCTGTGTCACATAGGTAAAGTAAAAGCTTGTTTTTATTTTAATTACAGTTACATGGTTTTAATAAAGGCAATAAATTAACGTCGCACAAAATTTGCCCTCTTTAGGATTCAAACCATCAGCCACTTGATAAAAGTAATTTCGTTCGTTCGTTCGTTTCAGCCAAAAGACGTCCACTGCTGGACAAAGGCCTCCCCCAAGGTTTTCCACAATGCACGCTGCCCGCATCGCAAAGTTCTTAATTTATTTTTTGTAATAAGGCTCTTTTACCATTTGCAGTCTGTTTACTCCAAATGACTAGATTAATTTTAATTACACGAGTTAATTTTTACATCCATCTTAAAACTAAACATTCCTTCAAAGACTAAACTTAACTAATTTTTCCCCAAAATACCAATGACAAGTTATTCCCAGAAAGCAATTCATTACGCGTATTATACCTACCAGCGTTCTCAAGACTTAGATTAATTCCATTTAAATTAAATTGAGACGTCTTGAGTATAATAATGTAATAATAATAGAATAGTTTATGTAATTTTATACAGGCCGCCCACCACCCGCGCCCCCATCCATTAAAATTATTATGATGTAGTGCCGCGCCTCGGCGAACGTTTTCTTTGTCTATAAGATGTTACATTATGTATGAGGCCGTGTTTGGAGTTATATTAAATTCGTATGTATGTATGTAAGACTAATGAAACTTATGTGTTTATTGGAAGCAAATGGTATTGAGTACGTAAAGCTGTTTGATGTGATTTTGAATTCTGTGATCGTCTTTTTACCCGACTGCGCCAGAAAGAGGGTTATGTTTTTCGAGTGTATGTATGTTTGTGTATGTATGTATATTTCTTTGGCACGGTCTACAGCCTAAACGGCTTGACCGATTTTAGCGTGAGAGGTGTTGTTAGATTCGTATTAATCGTGAGATTGACACTGGCTAAACATATTTAAATAAAAAAAAATGGCGGATTTTAGGCGCCATAATGTCTTCAAATATTATTTTTTTCTCAAAACCTATAGAGTAGGGTATCAAAATAAAGGGCTTTTTTAAGTAGATTTAAAAAATGCATGTCATTTAACTAAAAAGATTATTAAATTATTACGGATTAAACAAAAAACCCGTTTTACGTCATTTTACGCAGTTTGTTTTTTTTTGTTTATTCTATAATTAATTGTGATTATTATTACAAAAAAAAAATAGTTAAAAAAACTACATAAAAAGCCAAGGTAAAACTTTCCGCCGTTTCGTTTAGTAGTTCCTATGGACACCTCCCGACTCCATCATCAGGACCTTGGACATCATTAACACTAAAGTGCTCGAAAAGACAAATCTAATGAACCCAAACTCGATGCGATTCCGCCGTTTCGTTTAGGAGTTCCTATGGCCGCCTTCCAGTCCCTTCATCAGACCAGCTCGATAGTACCATAATATTGTATTGACATCTAATCTACATATAAGCCAAGTTTCATGATGATATAAGAATTAGAAGTGCGTGTAATTCAGATTCTTAGGCTGGGTCACCATCTTACTTTAACAAACGTCAAAAATCTGTCAAACTCCACACATAAAACTCCGGATAACGTTAAAGTTATGGTCAAAGTTAGGTGGTGCAACTCACCCTTAGTTACATTACATACACAACGACCTAATAAAAGCGTGTTTAAAAATAATTTGAGATGTTGGAGCTTGGAGACCAATTCGCAGCCATTTCACTGAAATGATAAAAAATATACAATGAAGTTCATCTGCAGCACTTGCAGTCAGTTGCAGTTTTTTGAGGACTTGTTTTCAGCTAAACTTGACTTCAATTCAGTGTTTCAGTTATTGCTACTGTCAAAAGTCTAACCGTTACATGGGACGTATACGAAAGCTTGCTTAAAGCTTTCGGTATTGTTTGTAAAACCATGTTTCTTTTCAATATTTTTTAGCAAAGTTATTAAAAGTTTATTTAAAAGACTTAGGCTGGATTGCACCATCTTACTTTGACTAAGACTTTAACAAACGTCAAAAATATGTCAAACTCAGTACAAAATACACCGGTTATCGTTATAGTTACGGTAAAAGTTAAGTGGTGTAACTCAACCTAAATAAAAAGTTTTGGAGCAAACGTTTTGACTAAAATTGCAACAAG